GGAACAAGGCCGAGTTGCTCCTCATCAAGTCGAAAGCTCGCAGGGCTTCCTCCTCATCTTCAAAGTGTTTCAAGAAATAGGCCTTCCTGTCCTGCTCCAGGAAGCCCTCGATCTCCAGGAAGAGGGGCTGTTGCAGCAGGAGCCGGAGCTCCCTCAGGGCCTCGGACCGCGTGGTGACCAGTAACGTGGCCTTGGGTGACATCTTCCTCTTCAGCAGGCTGCCCAGGAGGACGGGCACCGGCTTCTGCTCCTCCCAGTCGCCACAAATGTCTTGGATCAGGGACCCTTCGGGGACTTTCAGCTCTTCAAAACCATCGATGACGAACAGCATCTTCTGTGCTTGGGCGAGGACCTTGGAGACATCACCCTGCCCTTCGGGCCAGTCCTTGGAGATCAGCTCTGCAAAGGTGCACGGGCCCGTGCGGTTGAGCTCCTTGCAGCTGAGGTAGAAGACGCATCTGAACGTCTGACCAACGTGGTTCTCTGTCCAGTCCAGCATCACTTTCCTGGCCAGTGTGGTTTTCCCGACACCTGCGGGGCCATGGAGCACCACCGTGTGTGGTATGGGCTGTGTGGGTGTCTTGGGACGCAAGAACGGTATGAACTTCTGGCTTCTCTGAGTGACATCGTCAAGGAAATGGTCACTGTCTCCCCGCCAGAATTTATTGTTCCAGACCAAAGGTGGTTTCTCCATCGTATTTCTACGTCCCCCCTTTTTACCTGCAGTGACATGCAATGGGAGAGTTGAGATGCCAACGATTCTATGATACTCATCTGAAAAATACTTTGTAAAGTTCCAGAAATAGGGAAAACCACAGAGATGTGATAAGACAGTATGTACCCACCCAGCTTTTCTACATCCAAGTCTTCTTCCATGTCTCCCAGCTTTGGGTCATGTATTCCTTGCTCCAGGGCACCTGCTATAAAATACACACAGACATAAGCCTGACACACAGGGTTACTTGTTCTTCCTACATCAGATGTTGTTGTAGATAAAGAAAGCTTCAAATATTGTTTTGTTAGACATGAGGTCTTGCTGTGTTGTCCAGGCTGGATTTAAACTCCTGGGCTCAAGTGGTCCTCCAGCCTCAACCTCCCGAGTAGCTGGGACTATAAGCGTGCATCACCACGCCCAGCTAATTTTTCTTTCCTTTTTTTTTTTTTTGATTCAGAGCCTTGCTGTTGTCCAGGCTAGAGTGCCGTGGCATCAGCCTAGCTCACAGCAACCTCAAACTCCCAGGCTCAAGCAATCCTCCTGCCTCAGCCTCCTGAGTAGCTAGGACTACAGG